GTCTCATGTACTCCTTAGTCGGAATGCGTATTTCAAATTCATGGTATGTCTATTGATACTCCTAGCTGTTATTCTTATCGAGGAAATCAATGTCGGCACAGGTTTTATCACTGTGATGAACTATTATGGAAGAGAGGTCCTGATCCCAATCAGTTCGAAGAGAGGTAAGGTTCAGACAATTAAGAAGTTTGCTATCTTTGAATTAGATGTCGGTCGGACTCGGCGATTGCAACGCGTTGGACCAGCGCTTGCCCGTCGCGTTGCAATGCACAGTCGCTTGCACAAGTGCAATCGCTTGCACTTGTGCAAGCGACGGACGATTGCCTCCGTCGCTGGTCCAACGCGTTGCAATCGCCGAGTCCGACCGACATCTAATTCAAAGATAGCAAACTTCTTAATTGTCTGAACCTTACCTCTCTTCGAACTGATTGGGATCAGGACCTCTCTTCCATAATAGTTCATCACAGTGATAAAACCTGTGCCGACATTGATTTCCTCGATAAGAATAACAGCTAGGAGTATCAATAGACATACCATGAATTTGAAATACGCATTCCGACTAAGGAGTACATGAGACACGCGCATTCACGTGCTCTCTCCCAAAAGACCCTCACTACTAAAATGCAGCCTGGGTTTGAGGCATCATATGTCTAACATCTTTACAAATTCGAAGAACTCTAGGATTACAATAGCCATGATCCTTCGACGTTGACAGGAACCAGCAACTCCAAAGTACTTTATCCTTATTCTTCGCAAAAATCAGTAATTACAGCTGCGACATAATCCAACTAGTAGCCAAAATAAAAACTGCACGAAATTTTCGATAGCGGAGTCATCACATAACTGTCAATCATCACGCCTACAAGTACATGGCAAAGCTAATTACAATAAACGAATCACACAAAGGAATGAAACCTCAAGTGAGACAAACGAGGAAAGGCTACAATCACAACATAATCGTAAACCACAAAGACTAGATCAAATACTTAAAGGCTTGTTCTTCACATTTTTAAGCACATAACTCGTGAAAGTTCGGAGAAATTTAGGGTACTCTCTCTTATAGACTTGTCTCAACGCCGCTGTCGGTACCCATCCTCCCGGATGAACTGAAATGATTCCACTTCAAAAATCAACAGCATATGCAAATTTGCTTTAATATTTCGTCGACTCCACGATTGGCAAGTATAAAGCGGTAAAACGCACTTACCTTGGGAAACGTATATAATTTTGCATAAAATGTCATCTCGAGAAAGCTCGCTAGGCGTTTTATCATTTCTTATCACAGTCTCACAAATCATGGAAACCGTTAGACCAACCCGGATACCAGATGACGATGTGACCTGTAACAGATATGTAGCTATTCGATGACAGAATTGTTAGCGTATATATTTGGAAAAAAAACTCTTATAGGACGGTAATTGGGGAGATGACAACCTTAGATGACATAGAAGGTAGACGAACACGAGTTAGGCAATGACAATGACATTTGGGCTACTTTTACCACGTGTCAAATGGATCATGTTTATAAGTAAACAGCCAGCACGCTTCAACTATTAAGAGGTGAAATTTTCGAATTCAATCTTCACGTCTTACACAACTGTCCCATGATTACGATTATGTTTTTGCATTATTAAATACCTCTCTTATGGTTAGCTTATCGTAAGGAACCATAAGAACGACTCGGTCTCGAATTCTTCAAAACATGGTTCGGGGAAGGCTTTTCTACCATTTTTTGCGACTTTGGAATCATGAGGCGCAGTATTCTTTCTTGCGGTGAACAGGAGCGGTAAGAGAAGGAGAGAAATGGTCGATGTCAGACTTTGCGATTGGAGCGATTTGGCACCAATTGCAGGAGCGAAGGATCGCTTGA